TCCTTTCCTCTTTTCTATCTTTGACTTCCTTATTTATTTCATAGTATTTCTGTATTTCCGGTCTTTTGTACATTGTCTAAGTTCTGTCCACATAACTCTATAGAAAGTCGTAGAAATAATCCTTCATGGGTAGCGCATCTTAGGGAAGTATTCCTGGTGGAGCGCGTCCGTATCCACTGTTATTATTATTATTATTATTATTATTGTTTTCTTCAATCGTTATTTATGAATCGGGAGACAAGCAATGATGTCTTCCTTTATCTCTGCTTCACTTATACTGGAAAATTTATTCTGCACATACATAAATGTTGCTTCATTCCTTCGAATTCAAACTTGATGTGAAGAGGTGGCAACAAAATTTTCTTTGACGTAACTATGGAGGCTGAACATTTTCTCTCCCAGGTTCCAGTGATTGTCTTTGTGGCCATTTTCTCTTGATGTGATAAGAACATGTCTTGGCTGTCCTATTCACAACGAAAACATTGGACACCTCGACATCTTGTCTTGCTAGGTCACTTACGACAGAATAGTGAGTTCGATCCTCACTAGGTGACCTTACTTTCGGCCTTGCGCCACATCTAAGCTGTGCTTAGAAAATCACTTTTTGGGCACCTCGAGGCGAGGTAATGGTTAGCAAACTTGTTTCTCTAGAACAATTCCGACTGATTAGTGAGTTCGACCCTCACTGGGTGACCCATACTGTCGGCCTTGTGCCGCATCTAAGCTACGCTTAGAAAATCAATATTCACAAAGAAAACAACAGTATTTGGTATATTCACTTTGCAGTCCTCGCAAGAGGGCGACAAGCTTCAAATCTCTACAAAGTTGCCAGTCAGGTTGATCACATCTTAGTCGTTCCAGTGATTGTCGTTGTGGCCAGTTTTTCTTCATGTGATGAGAACATCTACTTCGGCTGTTCTATTCACAATGAGCTTTGGAACTTGTTTTTGAAGAATCAATAAACATTCTTCATTCTTCTAGATTGTAACTAAATGATTGCATGAGATCATTTGTATCATTGCAGTACACCAAATGAATGAGGTTAGATCGTTGTGAAACAAAAACGTACTAACGATGTATAGAGAGATCTTGCAACACTGTTAATCTGTTATTGCATTTTAAACAAAATGAAATCATACTTATTATAAAACCCAGATTGCGTGTTTGTGTGAGTGTGTGAGTTTCGTTTATATATTGGATCGGATTTCCTACATTTTTCAACCGATTTCAACAAAACTTCACAGGGCTACGTAAAATTACCTTGCGGTGGTTCTGACAGCGCCAAAAATTGGAAAATCACAATTGTTTTTGCACGAAATAAATTTAAAAACATGATTAAGAGGCATCACTCGCCAAAATGAAAGGGGGACAACTCATATCGAGTTATACTTATTATAAATCCCAGGTTATTTGTGAGTGGGTGGGTGTGTTCGTTTATATATGGGATTGGATTTCCTACATTTTTCAACAGATTTCAACAAAACTTCACTTTTTTTTGGCAGGTAGTGTTTCTTATTGTCTTGCACACTTTTTTCTTTATTTTTACATTCAGAATGCTTTAAAAATTCCATTTACAAGGCAATTGTTTATAAAATTCTATTCAATCACTAGACTCATAACGATTGAAAACAATGCTTTTGTTTGAGTTTGGGTCTGACCAATTCGTAAAAAAACAACAAAAAAAGACATGCGTGTTCGTTCACCTTAAACAATAATCTTTGTCAATTTTATTTTTCAGTCTTTATGATGGTCGATACTTGATCTATCTCTTACTGTTACATCCCCGGACAACGCCGGGCTCTACTGCTAGTTTTTAATATTTTTTTATTTTATTTCTTTTATTCCTTTTTTAAAATTATGATTGCTACCTATGGGTTTTTCTTTTAAAATTAATAGTTATTGTCTTTAAAATCTTAAGAGAATTATCAGAGCTTCGCAATTATACAGCGACGCATTTTTCTAGCGACGCAAATGTCAAGGAATGCAATTGTCTGGGACGCAATTTTCCTGGGCGCAAATGTCCAAACATCAACTGACCTAGAACCAAAAATTTTCATCTAAAAGAAGTTTATGAATCTGGAGACAAGCAAAGATGTCTTCCTTTATCTATGCTTCACTAAAACTGGAAAATTTATTCTGCACATACATAAATGTTGCTTTTTTCCATTGTCTTCATAAAATGTTTCATAAGACCAAACTTGATGTGAAGAGGTGGCAACAAAATTTTCAACTAGTGAAAGAGGCAGAATATTTGCCTTCCAAGGTTCCAGTGATTGTCTTTGTAGCCAGTTTCTCTTGATGTGATGAGAACATCTGTCTCGGCTGTCCTATTCACAAAGAAAACAATAGTATTTGCTATATTCAATTTGCAGTCCTAGCAAGAGAACAGCAAGCTTCAAATCTCTACAAAGTTGCCAGCCATGTTGCTCACAGTTGATATATCTCAGTCGTTATTTCATATTGCCGTAGTTTATTTCATGTGGACTGCATGAACAACTTGGATTGAAGATAAAACATTACCATTGTGTAACAACACATCTTCGAGACTTTTCTTTGAGGAATCAATGAACAGCCACGATTCCTCTTGGCTCTAAGCGATGTTAAGTGATTGCATAAGGCCACTGATATCAATACAGTACACCAAATCACCTTCCATAATGAAGAATGGGACTCAATCCTTGTGACGATCACGGAAATGGAAAATCCGTACAACAGCAACTAATAGGTTCCACTGCTGTAACCTGGAAACTAACAGTTCTGGTTTTACTCTGAGAAAGTTCTAATTCCCTAAGCTCACGTTGAGGTCGAGGTGTTGTTCAGAGACGGATGCTGGACAATAATCTTGGTTATAGGAAGTTGATCGTTCGAGTTCTGGGGCTTGATTGTCTTCCGCATTATCTGTTTCAATTTCATACGATTCTGGCGCTTTTAGGAATCATATGTTTTCATTATCGGGGAGGAGGATATAACGCAAACCCACTGGAATGTTTAGATATTGCACTGTCCATTTATTTTTTATTTAACGGTCCCTTAGCAGTAGGAAGTGTCAGGTAGAATTAGGGAGCAGTGGTATGATGGGTCAGTTCCCTAAATCACTTCACCAGGCACAGAGCAGAAGTTATCGGCTTTGTTCAGAATATTCTAGAGACATTTTTATTAGGCGAGAAATTATATATAATAAGTTTATTAGGAGGATAATATTTAATCTAGCAAGGACGACAATTTTGATGAAATATTCATACAGCACTAGTAAAATATCTTGGAATCTAGAGCCAATCAACAACGTTGGATATCATTTTTATATTTACTGCCCTTAAATTAGCTCAGATTGACTGCTTTTATATTTGAAGCTTTTCGTCTGTACCGTTACTTTTTTGTTGACATTTTTTTCTCAAGCGAAAGCAGACGACATACTTTTTCTTTCTCTCTTTCTTTCTCTTTCACTTTATTTCTGTCTTTCTCTGTCTCTCTTTCTTTCTTCCTTATTCCACGTTTTTTAAATTTTTATTACGCGCAACAACGTAAGTAGGTATTTATTTGACGCCCCACTGAGTCAGGATGTGACACAAGATCGATTTTAACGTGGGGAACCCGAGTGGAAACACTCGGGCCACTGGTTTAAGCTGGTCTAAGCTGGTCATAGTTTGTCCAAGCTGGTCATAGCCGTGATACTATCAGCACAGGGCCGGGACCCCGTGCCAGGTAAGTATCATAAGGTAAGTAATTCATTTTTATTATTGTAGAATCAAAAATATAATACTCACCCTCGCAAGGAATTTCCCAACTAGCGTCCAGTTGGTAGACAAAAAGAAATCATAACATAACCGATTATCCATCGCAGAATGATGGATATTTATTGATCATAGTATTCGCACGAAATTCAGCAGCCAATCAGATCCTAGAGAATAGACTCGCCCAGGTAGCAAAATGGAACATCCCAGACTGTTATATAAACCACTCACCAACTTGTCCAAACAGGCGGTCATAGGAGACTCAACTTGCAAGTGTATTTACTTGACCCCCCACTGAGTGATACAAGGTCAGTTTTTAACGTGGGGACCCGAATGTTTTCACTCGGGCCGCTGGTCTAAGCTGGTCTTAGCTGGTCATAACTTGTCCAAGCTGGTCAGAGCTGGTCTAAGCTAGTCATAGCTGGTCTTGGCTTGTCTTAGCTGGTCCAGGCCGGAGCCGGTCCAAACTAGTCCTAGCCGTGATACCACCAGCCCAGGGACGAGCCCTGTTCCAGCTAACTTGCAATACAGTAGAGAACTGATCTGTTTGTTCAACTAAATCTCATACTTTTGTAGTCCAATGATCAGTTGTGGTCGTAGGGACACTGAGCGCCTGACCCATTCCTTCCACATATCTGTGTTGAAAGTCGGAGAAATGCTCTTTCATGCGTTTCATGTCTTCAAGCTACAGACGAAGCCCTCCATCTTGGTCACGATGGCCATTGATTTCAGTCTAGAAAGCCCAACGGTCAGTAGGAGGTATCAGGCGGAAGTAGCAAACAGTGACATGATTGGTTGGTTCTCTCAATCATTTCACCATACACATAGCAGACGTTATCGGCTTTGTTTAGATATTCAAGAGATATTTTTCGCAGGTCAGTTAAATATGTGAAGACCTGAGCAGAAAGAATAATAATAATTTATTTATTAGGAGAGTAATTATATATAATAAGTTTATTAGGAGAGTAATATCTAATCTAGCAATGACAACAATTTTGATGAAATATTCATATAGCACTAGTATAGTATCTTAGAATCGAGAGCCAATCAACAACGTTGGGTACCATTTTTATATCTAATGCCTTGAAATTAGCTAAGATTGACTACATTTGTATTTGAAGCTTTCATGTTGTAGATCAGTGATATTATTGCACTGTGTATGTTGCAGTAACATTTGTAAAAACGTCGCAATAATATAAAATTAAATCGAAGTAAAAGTTAACCAAAAAAGCATCTAAACTCAAATTATTGGCAACTTTTGTAAATAAA